TCCCCTAACACCTAAATGGCTCTGTGTCACTGGGCAGAGCTAGCCGGGATGTGCAGGCCCAGAGTAAAGGCAGCCAGCACGACCTTCCGGCCCGAGGAGGAGGTGATCTGCAGCCCAATGGCATGCAGATGTCATCCTGTGGAGATCCCGCCCGGTAGATAAACAAATGAGCTGAGATTTCCAGGGCTTCCACCCAACTGCCTCTCAACTTTCACAAGCACAAATATTGACAGGAAGAGCAAAAACACCAAGTACACAGAATTAATGTTTGAAGCTGTTTAATAAATGCAGTTTCTTAGGCGAAGCCCATCAGAGCCACACAGGATTCTAGTGAGGGCCTCCAAAGGAACATCCAACAAACAAGCACCCCATGGAGGGACTGCTCTCCCTGTTCTGCTCAGCATCCTGCCTGCATCAAATGAGAGAAGGTCCAAAATGTCAGGGACACATCTAACCACTAGCACATACAGTGCTTCCAATGACATGTGGGGGGTCCATTTCTGTAGCACGGATAATGTTTTCTATAAACACCGTTTCATGACTCAGCATTTCTGATGTCACTCCAAACAGTGGGACTGGATAACTGGATGATCCAGCAGACTGGGAATGGGCTACAGAGACTTTCACCTCTAAATCATCAATTCAAATCCAGCCAAGGGCCACAGTGAGAGAGAGCTGACAGCAGCTGATGCCTGTTTGCTGGCATTATTTGGTTGCCATTATTATTTGGATTGTGGTAGCACCTAGGAGCCCCAGTCATGGACCAGGTCCCCTTTATGCTAGGCGCTGTATAAACATAGAACAAACAGATGATCCTGGCCCCAAAGAGCTTACAATCTACGTAAAAAGACAGAGATTCCCAACAGTGTCTAAGATGCGTTATTTGCTCTTCCCTCCGCCCATATTTAGAATAGGAAATAACAGATGTAACCGTGCGGTGTCCGTTGGCAAATGTTGACTTTTAAATGGCAACCACTGTACTATGTGTGCAATAAGTTCTAGTGGACATGGGATCACATAATAAAATCCATTACCACAATTAGGCCTCTTTTGAGCAGTCTCAGTCATAACAAAGTCAATGTAACTCACACAAACACCATGTGGCCACTGTCATCCTCGAGCAGCTAGTCCACATACAACTTTTGTCTCGCAGAACCCGTGTTTTATAGTTTGGGCAGTAGAGACTTGTGCTTTTAAGTCCCAGGGTCAATCCCAGGATACCTTAACAAGAATTGAAGAGGCCTAGAGACCAAACTCTCTTCTCATCCCTAATAGGTGTTCTCCTACAGGACTCACCGGCAGGGGCAAGGTGGGAAGTTTGCACTGCTACTGCTCATGCACTGAAGCACAGGGTTTTTCTGTTGCCCTTACCAATACAAGAACTTTGCAGTGTTTTTCTCCCATGAATTTCTTTGTTGTTAAATGCTCCTGCCAAAAGGTTCCATTTTAGGGGTTACTTCATCGTTGTGGCTTTATATAATAGTGCCTTCAGGATACACATGAAGAATAGCCACTGATGTTCATATGAAGGACTAAGGCAAGATTAGAATAGGAGACAACTAATATTTGGGATGGGAATTCCTGCCAAGTCTCTTCTGCTGCTGGCTATTGTTGTTTTGAGTTGTTATGGAAGGATTTGTTCTGAAATATCAGCACCAGCTGCCCAGCTGGGTATTCGGTGCTCTGCAAACACCAGCCGCACACGCTTAATTGGCCACTCTAAATCTAGCCCAGATCCTACGTATCCCGTGTCTAGAATCTAAACTGACCCCAGCGTCACTCCAAAGTGAAGGCAATATCCTTTGAAATGTCTGTGTTGTATCTGATCTTGTCTGGCTTCACTTGTGCAATCTGCCCATTTGGACTATGGGAATATTTCTTACTTAGGGTTGTGGTGGATCTTCAAAAAGACCTGGGTTTGGTGCATGAATTGCTGGGTGAACTGAATTGCTGGGTCGGACTAGATTTTCACAATGGTCCCTTCTGGCCTTAAAATCTATTACTCTGTTTACCTGGGTCCCTACAGAGACTATAACCATAACTTCCAAGGGAGGTGAGATTCCCCTTGGCATAGGACCAGTAGTGTAGCTAGGGGAGGAGCAGGGGGAGCGGCCGCTCCCACACTGAGCACAAGTGGCGCCTTTTTAATTTTTTGGCGCCTTTTTAATTTTTACTCTGAACGGGGGGGCGGACATAAAAAAAAGGTGCTACCTGCTGCGCCTGCGTGTACTCACCAGGCGGTGCTCCGGGTCTTTGGCAGCACTTCGGCAGCGGGTCCTTCGCTCGCCCCGGGTCTTCGGCGGCGGGTCCTTCGCTCGTTCCGGGTTTTCGGCGGCATTTTGGCGGCGGGTCCTTCACTCTCTCCGGGTCTTCAGCGGCATTTTGGCGGCGGGTCCTTCAGTGCCACCGAAGACCTGGAGCGAGTGAAGGACCTGCCGCCAAAGTGCCGCCGAAGACCCGGAGCGCCGCCCGATGAATACAAGCGCCGCAACGGGTGGCGCCTTTTTTTATGTCCGCCCCCCCCCCCGTTCGCTCCACATGGCTACGCCACTGCATAGCACCTTATGTAGGCCATGTGTTAAGATGCCTGTGACCCTTTTTCCTCATTACCCAACCACTAGAGCGGTCTTTTTAAAACAGAAGTGCCCAAATATTGCCCAACTGAGAGCCACACTTGCAACTTGCCAGGAGCCTGAGACCTGCACCAGTGTCTGAGTGGACCCAGCCAGAATAAGCCCATTCCATTGGCTGCCGCTGGTCTAATATGTGACAACGATTGCCATTGAAAGGTGGGTGTTGGCCAGCACTCAGTGCACAGTGGTATCGGATATACCGTGGTCTTTCACTCCACTTCGAAAGAGGGAATAGCTGCAGACACTGTGGCGTGGCAACTCAACATCAAAGACGAAGGTTGCCACGGCCCCCAATTTAGGATCATGCGGCTCAGACTTAGGGATACTCTGTTTTAAAATTCAATTTGCATGGAGAACCTATTGGTTCATTTTCGCGGGCTCTTTGCCCTACAAGTCTGCTGTCTCCGTGCTCAGGGCTGCAGATTTGTTTGTGAATTTCAACACAGCCCTGATTCCTGTCACTGGCCCTTTGCAGAGTTTTGGAGAAGGGGAAGGGAATAACTATCGCAGGTGAGACACCATGAGATCTCCTCTGAGCTCACAGATGGCAGCAAAGAACTCAGTTACTAGGTGGATCACTGCCAAGGAGACTGTGATTCATGTTCTCATTTTCTTGTCTGACCACATCACGTGTTGTCTATAAGTCTGTCATAATGGGTGGGCTGGGACCCATTTAGCATCTTCTTCAGCCATAGATACTAAGCCCTCTGAGACAGGGGCTGCATCCTGTTCTGTTTGTTATAGGCACTCTGTATGTTTACAGCACTGACTAAAAAAGTGTAATAATAAAATAATAATAACAACACATACAGACACACACACACGTGGGGAGAGAGAAGACCTGTAGAGTGTTAATTTTAGTGCTGAGTGCAGATGGTCAGATCAAAGCAATAGAAAGTCTCACTGGTCTATCACAGCACAGACATCCTCCCGTCAATTCTACAGAGAGCTCTAATGTGAAAATTTATGTTGAGTGATAAATTAGTGGTTTGATCACCGTCTCTCTGGACTTCTCCAACAAATAAATCAGCCCTCCCTAGCTCTTGGGATGGATCTACAGAACACAGAACAACTCAGCTGGAGAAGAGCAGAACTTTATCTGGAAATCCTACAATTGGCAACTCGCCAGTGGGGATGTTGAGGGGAGGGGGGAAACATTCTCTGATCACACGTCGAATTCCAAGTATCCTCTAGGGTTTAAAAATTATAGGCAAAGGCAAAATCCATATGCAAAAAAGGCTCTTGCAAATGCACACGATTTACTTTACACACGTAAGTCAGGTATAAATTATGCACATTGTTAGCTAGACACCCAACCAGCCATATAGCTAGGTACTTATACAATCCTCACTATTGTCATCTGAGCCGCCATCCCACATTTATGCATTAGCCTCCCAGCACACCTGTGACATGGGAAAATATCACATTTTACAGACAGGGAACTGAGCCACAGAAAGGTCAAGCAATTCACCTTTGGGCACATGTGTCAAAGCCAGGAACTGAACCTCCGTTTCTAGAATCCCATCTAGTGCCTTAACCATCCTCACTGTCAGCTGTATAGATTGATCTGATTTGCCACTGCAGTAACTGTGCGCTCAGATGCAGCCAGAATTGTGTGTGCCATTTTTTGGCACTGATCTGGGCCTTTTGAAAATTTTGTCTCATTATCATGATTCCTGTCTTATGACAATGGCACTGGCTAAAAGAGGGAGAAATAACTGTACAGCTGAACTAAGCCAACAGTTTCCAGTGGACAGACCTTTATCTTAACAGCATCCATTTTAAGCCTTGCAGCAGGGGAGTGTGGGAGGAACTTGGCGGGATGCAGAGAGTTTGTGCATCAGCCTTTCGCCTCTGCAGACCTTCAGATTTCAATGAGGTCTCCTGTTTGAATGGGACAGTCTCGATTTCATCCCGGGCGGACAGTCTGCCTCTCCATAAAACACCCCCCGAATTCTGCGGGACGAGCAGGCTGTCTCTGCTCAGAGGAGGTCAAGACTGGAAGAGACGAGAGGGCTGCATATCAAGACCGATAGAACTGGCAGAGGTTTTGGGGGATCCTGAACCGGGACTGACATAGAAAGAGGTGTTACATGTCAGGGCTGAAATACACTGGCAGAGCATTGTATGGCTGGGTTGCACAGCATCTGCCTGCACTGTGTCCTGCTCTCCTCAGTCTGTCGGTCCAGCACAATATTGAGCATTTCAGTTAGTTTGGCTCCGTTTCTGTTTCTTTGACAGCCCCCCAGTAGAGCAGAGGCTAATTGTTTTATTTATTTATTTATTTTACAGATCGCGCTTCTCCAAGGCCCAGTGATCTGCTCCTAGGGCACGGCAGAGCTGAAAATTCCTGCATTCCAGTCCGACTGGAACAATCACCCCAGGCACCGATGTAATTGAATCCTGGCCGGAGCAGAGCTTCAGCAATCCCCCAGAAGTGGACGGATATTGATTTGCTCTCAGCATGAGGAGATGGCCCTCCGCCCCACTTTCCAAGCCCTCTGGATTCCAACAGCCTTTTGCAGACAAGGGGATGAGCATGTTTATGGAGGAGCCTTTCAAGAGAGGAGGTGTGAACTCAGTTCTTTTCCAGCTGCTGCTGGAAGACATGTTGCTGCCTGAAAGCAAGGTTGGACTTTTTTCATATTTCTGTCATCGTTATCAAGCTTTCCTTGAATTTCTGTCTTTATCCCCCACTCAGTCAGACTGACAGCAGCGCTGCCCTCACTACTGTCCGTGTCTTGTGATTAATCCAGGGCTGTCGATTAAATGCAGTTAACTCAAGCGATTAACTCAAAACAATTAATCGCAATTACGAAAATTAATCACGATTAATTGCACTGTTAAACAATAGAATGCCAACTGAAGTTTATTAAATATTTTTGGATGTTTTTCTACATTTTCAAATGTATTGATTTCTATTACAACACTGAATACAAAGTGTACAGTGCTTACTTTATATTATTATTTTGTATTACAAATATTTGCACTGTAAAAATGATAAACAGAAAAAATAGTATTTTTCAATTCACCTCATACAAGTACTGTAGTGCAATCTCTTTATCGTGAAAGTGTAACTTACAAATATAGATTTTTTTTGTTACATGACTGCACTCAAAAACAAAACACTATAAAACTTTAGAGCTTAGAAGTCCACTCAGTCCTCCCTCTTGTTCAGCCAATCGCTAAGAGAAACAAGTTTGTTTACATTTACGGGAGTTACTGCTGCCTGCTTCTTATTTACAATGTCACCAGAAATTAAGAACAGGCGTTTGCATGGCACTTTTGTAGCTGATTTTGCAAGGTATTTACATGTCAGATATGCTAAACATTTGGATGCCTTCATGCTTTGGCCGCCATTCCAGAGGACATGCTTCCATGCTGATGATGCTTGTTAAAAAAACAATGCGTGAATTAAATTTGTGACTGAACTCTTTGGGGGAGAATTGAATGTCTCTTGCTCTGTTTTACCCGCATTCTACCATATATTTCATGTTATAGCAGTCTCGGATGATGACCCAGCACA